TTTAACAATGCTTCCATTTATCATCCATTGAAAGTCATTGGTACTAGAGGGTATTATGCTAAGCGAAATAAGTCAATCAGAGAAAGACATGTATCATATGATCTCACTGATAGGAGGCATTCTTAATCTCAGGAAACAAACTGAGGGTTGCTGGAGTGGTGGGGGATGGGAGAGATGGGAGGGATGGGTGATGGACATTGGGGAGGGTGTGGGCTATGGTGAGCGCTATGAATTGTGTAGGACTGTTGAATCACAGACCTGTACCTCTGAAACAAATAATACATTATATGTTAAAAAAGGAAGATAGTAGGAAGGGAAAAATGAAGGGGGGGCAATCAGAGGGTGACATGAACCATGAGAAACTCTGAACTCTGAGAAACAAACTGAGGGTTCTAGAGGGGAGGGGGGTGGGGGGATGGGTTAGCCTGGTGATAGATATTAAAGAGGGCACGTATTGAATGGAGCACTTGGTGTTATACACAAACAATGAATCATGGAACACTACATCAAAAACGAATGATGTAATGTACGGTGATTAACATAACATAATAAAAAATATAAAATAAAATAAAATAAAAGAAAGTCATCAGTAAATTGCTACAGCATATGTCATGGCAGCATTCCACACTCCACTCTCTTACTGTTTATATCAAACTTTGTTTTTCCTTCTTACATGTAACACAGTTTAATAAACTGTATAGTTGATTCATTAGGTAATTCAACAAATATTTATTCAGCATGTGGTTATGGACTACTTACTATATGCTAGACATTGTTCTAGGCACAACGAGAAAAATAGAAATTAAAAAAATAAAGAAATTCTTGCCCTATGCAGCTTACATTCTAATTAGGAAAGTATTACTATCGTTACTATATTCTAGTGTCCCACAGTAGACAATGCCTCTTAACATTTGAACTGATATTTTTATGACCCTCTTAACACCTTTTGCATAATGTTTTTCCCTTCTTTATTTTTCAGAAAATAGTATAAGTTATTAACTTAATGTTTTAATCATGTCTCTTTCAAAGCGTGATTTCATTTTCTTTTTACTTTCATATTTTATTTTCTAATCACTCCTTCTTATCCACCTTCACCCTTGTTATGTTTCTTCCTTCCTAACCAGAACTTTCTGGCCCTGCTAAAAGTATAAACTACCCCTTCTAATATCTACAGCATTTCATCTCCTTTTCTTTCCGCATGATGGCTTCTGTCCTGCTGTTCTGCCAGCTTCTCACAAGGTCTTTTTGGCTAACAGAAAAATGCACCACTCAAATCCCCCTTGAAGAAAGGATTTGCTACCCAAGGGAGAAGTGTGACTAGCCAACAGCCTCAAACTCTTAGTTGCTTTAAGGTCAGTCTCAGCTTTTGAGCCAACTACATGACCTTTTGGTAGTGCATCAGTTCAATTCCTGAGCAAGCCACCTGTAATGAAGGCCTAAACTTCTTCTCCTTTAATGAGTAATCTTTGCTCTGGAGATTCCTGGCTCTGGAGCAACCCTTCTGGATTGGCAGAAACTCTGTCAGGTCTTTATTATGGTCCTAGGCTCCCTTTCCCAATTCTGTTTCCTCTTTCACAACTGTTACTCCCTGAAAAACCTTTTGCTCTGTAACTCTTCCTCAGCATCTGCTTCCTGGAGAACACAAATGGGGACGTTCATTACTTACTCACTACCACCAAAACAATAATCACCTTCTCGGTTCTCATTCTGCTTGGTCTCTGAGTAGCATTTGAAGTTCCTAATATCCCACTTTGAAATTCTATTTTATTTTATTTGTAGTCACCCTAATATCTTCCAGTTTTTACTCACCTTAACCTTTGTTAGTGTCACTTCGAATCTGGATTCTTTTCTTCTAATCCCCAAATCCTCTGTGTTGCCCACAAGTCTATTTTGGACCTCTTCTTTCTTTCCACTCATTTCTCTTAGATGATCTTAGTCACTCTTTTTCCTTCCCTTTTTATGGGTTTATAAGTTGATATATTTCAATTCAAGCTCTGGGGCATCAGACACCAATTTCCAACGGGTCATCCAATGTCTATACCTGCTATTTCACAAGTATCTCCAAGTCAACATCTTTAGCTGAACGTGTTATCTCCCTGTTCAAATCTGCTGCTTTCAAAATTGGTGCCCCTCTCATCCAGTGGCTTAGTCATCTTAACAATTTCATCAGCCTCCATAATAAAATATTCAACAAACAGACTTTCCTTCCAAAATATCTCTCTGATCTTTCTACTACTTTTGTTTTTCTTCCCACTCTAACCCTGAGGACGTAGACATTTTTGGCTTAAACTACTGAAAATACCCTTTAATGAGCCTGTTGCTTCTAGTCCTCATCATTTTAATCCCACCACATCCAAACTATTACAAGTTATTCTAACACAAAAATCCACATTTATTTGCCCTAAAATTCTTGGATGATTTTAAATTATTTAATTACTTAAGAATAAAGTCCTAAAGTGCACTAATGTCCATATGAATCATTCACTCATCTGAATATAACTCACATCTGAAATGTCACAGCCACCTCTAAGCTCACTTGATATCTGTAGAGGAAACAAAATTATCTTAATTATATTCTGAGAGAATTTTGAATATCCTTGTAACAAAGAATTTTTCTTTCTAGCTGTGGCATCACTTGTATGTTCAGTTTTCTGTTAGTTTCTGAGGTACTTGGAGACATGGATTGTCACATATATTTTGATATCTGTCTAGTTCCAGGCTTGTAGTAAGCATGTAAAAAACAATTGTATTAAATTCAAATGATTTGAATGTCTATAAATTATACTCATTAAAACTGAGCAGTCAATACCAACAATGGAAATACAATAATGAATTTAAATAATAAGTGTATGGTTCTCCTTTTGCTTTCTTGACTGAACAACAATGATTTTTAGTAGAACCATGGACAACCTTTTAATACTTATCATGCCTTAAGTGACATATATATTGGACTTCAAAAATTTGGTCAGGTTATAGACAATCAGGAAGAAATTTTACTTTAAGAACAACATAATCCTGATATGTTAATTCCATCGTTTCATACAATTTGGCAAAAAGATAAAAATACTAATTTTAAGGTAGATAGAAATAATCAAATAAATGAATATGATATACAACGTGCTTCCCAACAAGAATAAATGATTAGGTTATAAACACTTTAGTGAAATATGCAGAATTGCTATTTTGAAGTTAAGTTTCTTCTGTTATCATTTGTTACCTGTAAGAATATTTTCTTGATAGACATTAAGTTTAGATTTTGGAAAAGCATGAAAAAAGAATATATATTTTAATTTTTTTAAAGATTTTATTTATTTGAGAGAGCCAGAGATAGAGAGAAAGAGAGAGCACAAGCTGGGGGAGCAGCAGAGGGAGAGGGAGAAGCAGACTCTCCGCTGAGCAGGGACCCTGATGTGGGACTCAGTCCGAGGACCCTGGGATCATGACCTGAGCTAAAGGCAGACGCTTAACTGACTGAGCCATCCAAGCGCACCAAGAATATATATTTTTAAAAGGCTAGCTTTCTCCATTTAATTTTTTTTCTTTTGCAGACAGAAAAAACAATCATTTGGTTTTGTGGATAAATATTATATGTAAGGAATGCAAGCAAAAGTATTCCATGGAAGGACAACTCAAGAATTGTCTGGCAGGGACTTCTGGGTGGCTCAGTCAGTTGAACATCAGACTCTTGGTTTTCACTCAGGTCCTGATCTCAGGTTCCTGGAATGGAGCCCTGCTTAGGCTCCACACTCAACCTGGAGTCTTCTTTCCCTCTCCCTCCCCCAATGCTCCTCCTTAGGCTTTCTCTCTCTCTCTCTCTCTGAAATAAATAAATCTTTAAAGAAAAAAAAAGAATTGTCTGGCAAAAAAGTCTTTGCAAAATGGAAATTATACAAGTCATCAACTTGAATAGTAAGCCAAAAAATGAAATTTCTTTCCAAGTTATTCCCTTTGTGTGTGTGAATGTCATACTGATGGGGGGAAAAAGTTTACATTTAACCTTTTACTAGCCACAGATTTTCCTAAGAAGCCGAGTTATACACAATGGAATAAATAAATAATGGGAAAATAAAGTTGTTCTTACAGGATCATTTCATAGTTGTGATTTGTTTTTTGGATTTCTTTTTTTTGGCCTGATATTTAAATTGCAATTCCATACTGAGGGATTAAAATACATACATAAATCCATTTCATATTTAACTTTTTATTTAGTTTCCTTAACCAAAGGGTTTTCTTTTCTGTTTTTTAATTTTATTTATTTATTCATAAGAGACAGACAGAGAGAGAAAGAGAGAGAGAGAGAGAGGCAGGCTCCCCGCTGAGCGGGGATCCTGATGCGGGACTCCATCCCAGGACCCTAGGATCATGACCTGAGCTGAAGGCAGATGCTTAAACATCTGAGCCACCCAGGCACCCAACTAAAGTGTCTTCTAAGAAACAAAGTTATCTACCACGGAATTGGTTTAGTATCATTTTTTTTACACTCTTTATCTCTATGCACGTATGTGTATTTGTTTTGACCTGAGACTTAAATTAGAAATCCAGCGGTAGATACGGTTTCCATTTTCTGTTTTCCTTCACTACTGTGAAGAAAACTACGACGTGAACTATTAACATTGCCAAGCACTTCACCAGCAGATGGCCCATTTCCAGAGGAGAATATGCACTTTATGACCCTCACGTCATCCCTGAATGCGCTTCCAATGTCCGCGTTTTGGAAAATAAAGCCCAAGCCCACGTGGGCAGCAGGACGGGATGGCTTGTGCCTCCTGCGCGCAGCGGGCGGTAGGTGGGCGCCCGGGGCTGTGACTGCCACTGCGACTGCTACAGCTCCGGCGGGTCCGCAGAGGTGGCACGGTGGGCGGAGCAGCCGCGCCCCCTCCCCCACCGCCCGGCCTCTGGCGCAGACCCCAGCCCCACCCGCCCGGAACGCAGGTCCTGCGCGTGCGGCTGCCGTTCCGCAGCCAACAGACATCACCGTGGCAAGGCCGGCAGGCCCCGCAATGCTGTCTCTCCTGCTGATCCTCTCAGGCCTAGGCCGGCTGACCTCCGCGGGCCATCGTGAGTGAAGGACCCTCCTCCATAGAGGGTCACCTGTCGCAGAGCCTCTGGGCGTGCCGGGCCCCAGAACCTTGCTCCAGAATCCCGGGTCTGGCTTGGGAGAGCCCAGCGTCTTGTCAGAGCCCACTTAGAGTCAGGATCCTCCTGGGCCTGCTGCTTGGAGGGCTCGGAGCAGGACTGAGACAGTTGCCCCTCACTTTCCTGACCCCGCACTTGGAGGAGAGGGCGCGCATCTTCTGGGAGGTGGGGCCTTAAGAGCAGTACTTCTTCACCTGCTGGGGCTGAGGTCAATAAGTCTCAAAGTCTCTGGATGGTGGTAGGGTCACACCCCAAAGTGTATGGATGGTGGAGGGAGCCTCTTTCTGGAATGTACAAAGTCTGATTCTGTGGCGGGTGAGTGCGTGCCTCTGTGTGTGTGTGTGTGTGTGTGTGTGTGTGTGTGTGTGTGTTGGGGCTTGGAAGTTCAAAGAGTGATGGGATGTGACAGAACACGTGAAGAATTAAGGTTGCTGCCAGGCACTGGGGAAAGCTCACACATGTTTTCCTTACTGTAGATCCCGAAACATCGCCTCTACAAATTACAGTGCCACGGAAGATTGAGACAAATACCAGTGATGGTGAAGTTTCAGAAACACATGTAATTAAGAAATCACTTTTTTATAAATGCTTTATTTTTACTGGACTACATGACCCAAATCAATTCATGCATATATCCCTTTGAAATTTTGTGCTCTAATTACTGTTACTTTTGTCTGAATGAAAGCAAGTGTTTTTTTTTTTTCATTCGTTAAGTAATACATGAACATTATAAAACTACTTTAAAACACAGACTCAGGAAAAAAGTGCCCCAAATCCGTATCACACAAAATGATATATACAGTCACTGGACTATTTAAATATTCTTTGTGAGGTCACAATAAAATGTACCTTATAACATGATTTTAAAATGATAATATATAAAGAACTTCTTCATGAACAAATTTGAGTATATATACATATATGTCTTGTTAAAGAGAAGGTACCGATATTGTTAATCTGATTAAAATAAAACATACATTGTCAAATCTAGATAGCACATGATGTTTTTTAATGGTAAAGCTCTTTCATATCACTGTGATTTTAATGAATGATTCACTAAGTATAATTTCTGTGACATCTCTATGACACATATAATTTGTGCCCATTAATTTTATTTATTTATAAGTTTTTATTTAAATTCCAATTAACATACAGTGCAATATTAGTTTCAGGTATACAATATAGTGATTCAACACTTCCATACAACACCCAGTGCTCATCACAAGTGCACTCCTTAATCTCCATCACCTATTGTTTTTTATTGTTAGTCACCATACAGTACATCAGTAGTTTTTGATGTATTGTTCCATGATTCATTGTTTGCATATAACACCCAGTGCTCCATGCAGTACATGCCCTCCTTAATACCCATCACCAGGCTAACCCAACCCCCCCCAAAACCCTCAGTTTGTTTCTCAGAGTCCATAGTCTTTCATGGTTTGTCTCCCTTCTCCAATTTCCCCCCCTTCATTTTTCCCTTCCTTCTCCTACTGTCCTCCATGCTATTCCTTATGTTCCACAAATAAGTGAAACCATATGATAATTGACTTTCTCTGCTTGACTTATTTCACTTAGCATAATCTCCTCCAGTCCCATCCATGTTGATGCAAAAGTTGGGTATTCATCTTTTCTGATGGCTGAGTAATATTCCATTGTATATATGGACCACATCTTTTTTATCCATTCATCTATTGAAGGCCATCTCGGCTTTTTCCAGAGCTTGGCTATTGTGGACATTGCTGCTATGAACATTGGTGTACATATGGCCCTTCTTTTCACTACATCTGTGTTTTAGGGGTAAATATCCAGTAGTGCAATTGCTGAGTCATAGGGTAGCTCTATTTTTAATTTTTTGAGGAAGCTCCACACTGTTTTCAAAAGTGGCTCTACCAACTTGCATTCCCACCAACAGTGTAAGAGGGTTCCCTTTTTCCACAACCTCTCCAACATTTGTTGTTTCTTGCCATGTTAATTTTTGTCATTCTAACTGGTGGAAGGTGGTATCTCAATATGGTTTTGATTTTAATTTTCCTGATGGCTAATGCTGATGAACACTTTTTCATGTGTCAGCCATTTGTATGTCTTCTTTGGAGAAGTGTCTGTTCATGTCTTCTGCCTATTTTTTGACTTGATTATTTGTTTCTTGGGTGTTGAGTTTGAGAAGTTCTTTATAGATCTTGGCCTTCAATGCTTTCCCAATCAAAATACCAATGGCATTTTTCAAAGTGCTGGACCAAACAATCCTAAAATTTGTATGGAATCAGAAAAGATCCCGAATCACCCAGGAAATGGTGAAAAAGAAAAACAAAGCTGGGGGCATCACATTGCCTTATTTCAAGCCATATTATAAAGCTGTGATCACCAAGACATGGTACTGGCACAAAAACAGACACATAGACCAATGGAACAGAATAGGGAGCCCTGATATGGACCCTCAACTCTATGATCAAATAATCTTCGACAAAGCAGGAAAAAATATTCAATGGAAAAAAGACAGTCTCTTCAATAAATAGTGCTGGGAAAATTGGACAGCTATAGAATAAAGAAGAATAAAATGAACTTTCAGGACTTCATCAAGATAAAAAGCTTCTGCACAGCAAAGGAAACAGTCAACAAAGCAAAGAGGCAACCCACGGAATGGGAGAAGATTTTTGCAAATGACACTACAGATAAAGGGCTGATATCCAAGATCTATAAAGAACTTCTCAAACTCAGCACCCATCACCTATTCAATGCATTCCCCATCCATCTCCCTTCTGATAACCATCAGTTTGTTCTCTATAATTTATGAGTTTGTTTCTTGATTTGCCCTTCTTTCTCTTTTTTCCCCCACTTTGCTCTTTTGTTTTGTTTCTTAAGTTCCACATATGAGTGAAATCATGTGGTATTTGTGTTTCTCTGATTGACTTATTTTGCTTAGCTTAATACTCTCTAGCTCTATCCATGTTCTTGCAAATGCCAAGATGTCATTCTTTTTTATGGCTCAGTAATATTCTGTGTGTGTGGTGTGTGTGTGTGTGTGTGTGTGTGTGTGTGTACACATCTTATTTATCCATTCATCAATCAATGGACACTTGGGCTATTTCCATAATTTGGTTATTGTAGATAAAGCTGCTGTAAACATAGGGGTGCATGTAAGCCATTGAGTTAGTATTTTTGTATCCTTTGGGTAAATAACTAGTAGTGCAATTCCTGGATCATAGGGTAGTTCTATTTTTAACTTTTTGAGGATACTCCACACTGTTTTCCATAGTGGCTGCACCAGTTTGCATTCCCACCAACAGTGTAAGAGGGTTCTCCTTTCTCCACATTCTCTCCAACACCTGTTGTTTTTTGTGTTGTTGATTTTTAGCCATTCTGATAGGTATGAGGTGACATCTCGTACTTTTGATTTGCATTTCCCTGATGATGAGTGATGTTGACATCTTTTCATGTGTTTGTTGACCATCTGGATGTCTTCTTTGGAGAAATGTCTATTCTTGTCTTCTGCCTATTTTTTAATTGGATTGTTTGTTTTTTGTGTGTTGACTTTGATAAGTTCTTTATATATTTTGGATACTAACCCTTTATCAGATATGTCATTTGCAAATATTTTTTTCCCATTCCATAGGTTGCCTTTTACTTTTGTTGATTGTTTCCTTTACTAAGTAAGTAGAAGCTTTTAATTTTGATTAAATCCCAATAGTTTGGTTTTGCCTTTGTTTCTCTTGCTTCAGGAGAAATATCTAGAAAAAAGTTTCTATGGTAGATGTCAGAGAGGTTGCTGCCTGTGTTCTCTTTAGAGTTTTTATGGTTTCAGGTCTCATATTTAGATCTTTAATTCATTTTGAGTTTATTTTTGTGTATGGTGTAAGAAAGTGGTTCTGTTTCATTCTTTTGCATGTTGCTGTCCAATTTTCTCAACACCATTGTTGAAGAAACTGTCTTTTTCCCGTTGGATATTCTTTCCTGGTTTGTTGAAGATTAATTGACCATATAATTGTGGGTTTACTTCGGGATTGTCTATTCTACTGATCTATGTGCCCGTTTTTGTGCCAGTACCATACTGTTTTAATCACTATAGCTTTGTAATATAACTTGAAGTCTGGAATTGTGATGCCTCCAGCTTTGCTTTTCTTTTTCAAGGTTGTTTTGGCTATTCGGGGTCTTTTGTGGTTCTATGCAAATTTTAGGATTGTTTCTTTTAGCTCTGTGAAAAAATGCTGTTGGTATTTTGATAGGGATTGCATTAAATGTGTAGGTTGCTTTGGGTAGTATAGACATTTTAACAATGTTTGTTCTTCCAGTCCATGAACATGGACTATCGTTCCATTTCTTTATGTCATCTTCAATTTCTTCCATTAATATTTTATAGTTTTCAGAGTACAGATCTTTCACCTTGGTTAGGTTTATTCCTAGGCATCTGATGGTTTTTGGTGCAATTTTAAATTGGATTGACTCCTTAATTTCTCTTTCTGCTGTGTCATTATTGGTGTATAGAAATGCAACAGATTTATGTACATTAATTTTGTATCCTACTACTTACTGAATTTGTGTATGAGTGCTAGCAATTTTTTGATGGAATCTTTTGGGTTTTTTATATAGAGTATCATGTCATCTGCAAATAGTGAAAATTTTACTTACTCCTTGCTAATTTGGATGCCTTTTATTTCTTTTTGTTGTCTGATTGCTGAGGCTAGGACTTCCAGTACTATTTAAATAACAGTGGTGAGAGTGGACAACCTTGTCTTGTTCCTGACCCTATAGGAAAAGCTCTGTTTTTCTCCATTGAGGATGATAATTAGCTGTGCCCTTTTCATGTATAATCTTTATTATGTTGAGGTATGTTCCCTCTAAACCTACTTTGAGGGTTTTTATCATGAATGGATATTGTACTTTGTCAAATGTTTTTTCTGCATCTATTGAGAGGATCATATGGTTCTTATCCATTCTTTTATTAATGTAGTGTATTGCATTGATTAATTTGCAAATATTGAACCACTTTTGTAGCCCAGGAATAAATCCTACAACTGTGGTGAAAGATTTCCTTAATATATTGTTGAATTTGGTTTGCTAGTATGTTATTGAGAATTTTTACATCCATGTTCATCAGGAATATTGGCTTGTACTTCTCTTTATTATTGGAGTCTTTATCTGGTTTTGGTATCAGGGTAATGCTGGCCTCATAGAATGAATTTGGGAGTTTTCCTTCCTTTTCTACTTTTTTGGAATTGTTTGAGAATAGGTATTAACTCTTCTTTAAATATTGGGTAGAATTTGCCCCTGAAGCCATTTCACCCTGGAATTTTGTTTGTTGGGAGTTTTCTGATCTAATTTCTTTGCTGGTTATTAGTTTGCTCAAGTTTTCTATTTCTTCCTGTTTCAGTTATGGTAGTTTATATTTCTAGGAATTTGTCCATTTCTTCCATGTTGTCCAATTTGTTGGCATATAGTTTTCATAATATTCTCTTAAAATTATTTGTATTTCTATGGTGTTGGTTGTTATTTTTCCTCCCTTGTTTATAATTTTATCTATTTGGTTGCTTTCTCTTTTATCAATCTCGTTATTTTTTTCAAAGA